ACTCACAATCGTCAATTTTGTATGAATGCAGATGAGAAGCCGCCCGAGTTCTACCATGAAGAGTTACGTGGGCGCAAGTGGATGATCATCATAGCGAAGGATTCCCACACTGTGGCTTTCAAGCGGCTCTATACAGAGAACAAAATCGTCGCTGTCGGTGTATATTGCCTGTTCCTCGACAATCAGATCGACAAATGGATGGTACCACACAACTACAAGAAGGCCACCGTTGCTCGTCATAGTGCCAGACCCCGAGTAACTGTATTGTAGGGCAGTGCTGGGACACAAACAATACTGAGACCTGGGTTCAATCGCCCCATTCGCCCAACATAAAGCCGTTCGATTCCAACTGTTCTGGTCAGTCGAGGGTACTCTCCGACGGCAAACGCTACAACGTTTTGTCATTCGCCGAAATTGGCATCAACAGCAATTTACTCGCACTTGTTGAAAAATCGAAGGTACCAGAGGTCCAAAGGCTTTCGGGGCACTGGGAGCGGGTCATTGGTGAAGGAGGGATCTTACTTAACTTGAAGCCAAAATATTACTTTTTTTATCTGGTTTCCTCTTCGTTTTATATGAATAAAATTTTCCGCACTTTTGAATGGGATGACCTAATACAGTATTCCCTTACTTTTTTTTATGGAGTCTAGATACTTTCATAGAATCGTGGCGAAATCGTCTTCGAGGGCTATGACGGCTTCATTTTATTGTTGCAGTGCGGCTTCATTTTATTGTTGCAGTGGCAACTCTATGCATAAATTCCCTAATAACAAGGAAAAACTGAATAAGAAAGTATCCTTCTTCCGTAAGTCACTGTGGAAAGCTAGAGGATGGCCCTGATGGCGTAACGGTTAGCGCACTCACCCTGTTAGCAAAAGATGCTGTATTTCTAGTGGAAGTATATGGTTACAGTTTGGGCTGGGTGTGTAGTATACCGGACGAGTTGTCGTTTACTTTAAACAGACCCAGCTATTTCGCAAATACCTTCGAATTCCTGGTAAAACATTCTAATAGCAATGTAATGTCGCAAACTGCGAAAATTTCATGACACTCACCTGGGGGCCCCCCCCCCCCCCCCCTCAAGATTTGTCCTCTAATCAACATCCCTTGTAACAAACTTTCGGAGCCGCGAAACTGTGGGAGTTGAACAACAGTTATCATAATGAACAAGTGATAGCGTTAGCTATGCTTAAGAAATTATTTGCGGCTATACTGTTTGAGAACAGCTGGAGCTCATAGATTGGTTCCGCCTTGAATATTTCGATTTAGTCGAATGGTTCTACAAGCATTTTTCTGGTTCTGATGGTAAATGAAACAAACGGCACGCATTCCAGGTAGCTGATTTCGGTCTTGCTCGAAAGTTGATGGAGGAAGACATCTATGAAGCTCGGACGGGAGCGAAATTCCCCATCAAATGGACGGCTCCGGAAGCGGCTACATGTGGTAACTTCACTGTAAAAAGCGATGTCTGGTCATACGGCATATTGTTATACGAAATAATGACAAAAGGACAAGTCCCATATCCAGGTGAGTATCCGTCTATGTTTTTTTAGAAATTATACGATCAAAGGGCGTCGTGAAATGCTTCGATATCCTTTGAATGTCTGACGTTTTTTTGTTTTGTTTTATTGACATATGGTTTCTTAATTATGTTCGATACATTCGAATACTGAATTCCCGTCAGCTAGAACAGCCCATTCTAAACAAATTGGGTTCTGAACTGTATGCAGATTTTATAGACTGTTCACGAAGCTTTCATTGCGTATGTTTTCTGAATCATGCTCTTTAAGCAGAGTCTATAAGAGTGAAGAAATTTCCAACCAAAACTGAAGGTTGCGCTGAAAATTTCGTGCTAAGTATGGCCGCATTTTGTGACCTTACATCTGCTTTCTATTACATCCCAGCGATGGCAAGGGCGTGGTTGCGTATTTAACTTGGATATGGCGTAGGACGCGCTGTTCCTGCGATATTTCCATTTGATGCAAGTGTTGCTATACCTTGTTCTGGACGAAGTCATTGTTGCAACTGTCCAGAAATAGCTTTATCCCTACAAGAGCGCAGCTTCTGCCGCGTTTGAATGAGCTAGCAACCATGGACTTCCCAGCTTTGGAATACGGTGTGTATGAGCACTAAGGACTATGATTCGAAGCTGATGTGGAAAATAACGGCAAGAAGAGTTGACCAAACTCTTCGCTCCTGTAATGACGATGAGGAGAATTTATCGTTCGTCGTTATCGTTGACTCTCCTTCCCATGTGCCGTTGCTCTAGTACGACCTCTTCGACCTAACCATTCAGCGTCATCTACCTCCTTGATTCCTCCTCCTTCCAACGTTCTCCGTCTAAAAAAAATGTTGACCGAAAGGACTTAGGGGAAATCAGCACTGGAAAACATGCTAACTAAAAAGCCTCTCAGGTAATGGAGGCCGTTTTCGAAAGTGGTAGGGGTTCAGGGGATCACAAAAGAAATGTTCATTTTTGCTGCTCGTTTCTGTAGTGTTCAAAGAAGGTGAGCAGTAGGCTGACGGTCGAATCCTCGTGACTATTTTGCACTATTGTGTTTATTTTCTTATACTCATGTAAGTGAGTACCTTTTTGTCTGAACAACAAGGTATCTTAAAACGCCCGAATTCAAATTCAAAAGAGACAGAAGAGCTTTCTATGTCCGAGTTCGTCGTGAACTCGTAGAGCTTTTTTCGCCTCCCTTTTTTCCCCCAGAAACGCGCAGCGAAAATGAACTATATTTTTTGTGGCACCTGCATTAACTTCTTCAACATGCAACAAGACGTTCGTTTCGAATTTGGGCCCTAGGACCTGAAAAACCCCCTTGTTAGACCCCTATACGGTCGGCCTCCCTCTATCGACCATTCACTTCACATCCTTACTGGCGTGGATTCCACAATCATGGTGAACACTGCTTTTCCACATCAACTGCAGACCTCTCTCAACCCGGCTGAAGTGCCTCATTCGGATTGCAAACCCCAGTGGCCCAAACCGACCCGTGCCTTTTGAGGATCTCTGAATTGCGCCGGGCGTTATTCGACAACTGTGCCATGCGAAACTAGGTGTCATTGTTACGTACCGTGGATTTTGCTCAGCATTATTTCTAAACCCTTGCTCATGAACGGATCATGGGGCGTCGGTGAGGGTGGGTATGGCGAGCCTCTAGTCCGTTCTCCACTAGTTGGTGAAGGGTAAGCGACAACAATTGGTGGAAAATGGGTAATATGAACGACCTTATGCCATCTTGCCTTGCCGAAAGAGAAAGCAAAGGGGCTAGCTCTGCGTCACGGCATTTCTCTGACACGTCCCATCATCCGCAACGCCCAAACTAATCTACCCTGCCTCTTAGCTTTTCTTAGTTCCGTCGCATTCGTTGAGTGTGGTGCCAGGTATAAATGAATTTATTTACTTATTTTTCTATTTTTTTTCTTGAAGTAGATCCCCGATAACGATTCCTCCACTTGTCCTCATTTACACAATTATTTTACAACATATACTTACAATCTAAACAATCTAACAAGGGTAGGAGCGGCCCTGGTGGCATAGGGGATTAGTGTACTCTCGCCAGGAAGGCATGAGATGCGTGTTCGAGTCCCGCCTGGGGTCATACTTTTGCCCGTAACTCAGCATTCTTGGGATAACTTTCAGAACTGCAGCGCTAAACAGCGATTATCGTTGTAAAAAAAACTTCAGTTACTTACGTTTTTTCGGAACTGCTTTCACAATATATCACTCAGTTTTCGAAATTCTTCTATTTATTGTGCTGCCTACAGGTATGCATAATCGAGAAGTTGTGGAACAAGTGGACATTGGCTATCGTATGCCAATGCCTCGAGGTTGTCCGGAGCAAATCTATAACGAGGTTTGTACGAGTCTTCATTAGGGTCCACTCATGTCATAGAGTACCGCTAATTCAATATTGGACGAGAGTGATTGGTCGGATTTTAGGTGATGTTGAAGTGTTGGGATAAGGTTCCCGAGCGGCGGCCGACATTTGACCATCTGTTCCACTTCTTTGACGACTATTTCGTCTCATCACAGCCAAATTACGTTCCTCCCAGTGTTTAGGCATTTTATTTATGATGATAATTGTTTGTGTTGTTTCACTTATTACCAATTCCTCACCTCAATCACATGCATAGTTATCTGGGTTCATAGAAAAGGGTCGTCACTGCTGCCGGCCACACTTGCTGTGAATATAATAATAATACTCGCCGTTTGCCAGTTCCATCTACCAGGGGTCTAATACATGGACTAGTTATTGAATGTTGTTTACGAATGTGTTATAATCTGCATGTTGTGCATTATATCATGTATATACTACCTTGTTGACTGTTCATGTGCTGATATTAGCGCTGCCATCATTCCTACCGACGCCGCCGCCGCCGCCACCCCCTTACACAACGGTTCAACTCTTTCAAAAATTGTGGTGCATTCTCTTTATAAAGCTTAATGTATAAACGATGGAAGCGCAAGCGTTCTATCAGCGCGATTGTGAGATTATTTCTGCGATCACTACTTATAGTATATTGTGTTCCGAGCGATCTACGTTTGTTATTTCTGCCATAACACACCGACATTGTGTTCAATTATGTTGTCATGTTGTCATATAGACATAATTAATATTGATCAAATTTGATTATGATGAATTCATTTGTGATAATTGAAGTGGTTGTTGTCGTGGATCAACGACGGATCGAGCAGGCGAGTAAGCATTGACGCCGACGATAATTCAGTTTACGCCCGCAGATTAGTGTCACACATGTCTGTGCGTCGTCTGCATGCTGAAAGCGAAATTGGCCCGCCTTCGTCTTCGAGGCCGCGAACGATTGGCATTCTTGGTGCCTCAGCTTGTGCCAAGTGTTTTTTTTAATCGCGGAAGAGTTCCAGTCTACCATTGTTCGTAGCGCTTTCGTTTCCTCGAAAAAGATAATGGATTGTTTGAAATTTTGGTCCTTGTGATAATAGTTGATTAGGCAGGGTCACTTCCTGATTTAGATTAAGATATAGGGTCAGAAAGATTTTTGAGCTCTAATCGTACCAACTAGTGCTTGTTCAAGTTATCCTATAGACAAGTTCTGAGATAACCTGAATTTGTTGAAAAGCTGAACTAATCCCACTTGCACTCTTCTCCGTAGCTACGAGTGAGTATACTCGGCTGTATATTACTTGACTGGATGGTTAGTGGGAAGCTTTAAGAGTACCGTAGGGTAGCATAAGGGTACGTTACGTTGCATCTCTCAGCCTTATGATGTAACCCTGAATTTTATGGAAAGCTGAACCAATCCTCCTTGCACTCTTGTCCGTGTTTACAGGTATCCATAATTAGCAAGGATGGTCGACAAACCTGCACTCTATTCCGTATCTACGGGTGTGTATATTTAGCTGGAATGGTGTACGGTAGATAAGCTGTAAGAGTACTGTGTAGTGGGACATTGCCATCTCAACGTTTGCCTGCGGCTTAACCTCACCTGACTACTTGCGCCGGCTCGCGATCTCTTAACGGAGGATTAGTCTGGATTGCTCTTACAGTTTCGTTATCGTACACGCTAAGTATGCCTCACTTCCTGTCCCTTCTCCCTTCAACTGCTATGCCAGTGGATGCCTGGGACCTGCTTTTACAGTGCGCTAGATCATCAAGGGTGTTATTTAGAACGTTTTTATCTGTTTTTTTTTTGTTTTCTCTCGCACTGGCAACCAGTCAGCCCTTCTGTTTTTGCACTGAACAATCCAGGACTTTCACTGGCTAAGTTGTAGCGTGGTCTATGGGGGCTATGTGACAAGAGAATCGTAATTCACCGCGCTGGTGGGCGTCGCGTGCGACGTCGCGCCCGCAAATGGCGATGGCGATGGTTCCAGGTAGTAGATGGCGACAACAGGCAATTCAGAACCGAAAATAGTCATGAATGTCTACGATGACGGGGTCTACATGAAGTCCGGTGCTCCAATCGACAGGTTAAGAAAACGCCGCGACTATTGCCGCGCGCGGCGGGGTGGCCAATTACGGTTCTCTTGCTCGTCTCTCGTCTATGAGAGGTATGCCGCTTGTGCCGTAGAGGTGCTGTAGCTCTTGTAGTTTTGCGTAGTTCAGCCTTTACAGAGCTTTATTCAGTGGATGTAAGAAGATGGCTGGTTCAGACCGTTTTGAGCCTCCTGTGCCCTCAGTCTTGTTCTTCATTCAGAGATTTTGCTCGCAGTATAACTGGAGCAATTGATCACTCGATCGACAACTAGTATAATCCTGAAAGATCTTTATGTTCTCTCCTGACACCTTTCTGGACTCCGGTTTTCAATTGAGCCTGAAAACACCTGTGTAAGTTGATTGGCTTCCAAAAACCTTCACGGACTTGAATCTTTGCTCTTGAGCTGTTCTTTGGGTTCCTTAGAAAGGGCCATTTCTCATTTCTTGATGAAATAAGCTCTACAGGGATTTTAACATTTGACACCCTTATCTTTGTTCGCTGTTCCAATGAGACGACGTATTTTGGTGTAATATTTCGTCGTAATACGGAATCCCCTTTTGCACTAGCAGTTTTTTAAAGATGGGAAGTGTTGCTGGCTTCGTTACCGCGCCATTTCTTGTATGATTGATTTTATGTTGGGCCCTTTTGGTGCTGAAAGGTGCGAAAACACTATTTGCTGAAAGGTGCGAAAACACTATTTTGATTTAGGAGAGGAAGGTTTCTGCACAACTGGGGAACGAGAGGTAGTGCTAGGTGACCACTGTTGTTGGGGGTCCCCATTGAGGGGGATGTGTTTGGTCGCAGGAGGGTGAGGGGATCGCATAAGAAAAATGTTTTCTGTTGTCGACTTTTCTCCGTTTTTACTGCGTCGACGGTGCTTTAGCGCAGAGCGCTGAGCGTAGAACGGGGCATGAGGAAGAGGTCGCGCCAGTTTATGAAATTCGAGGGGCTCGATTAAAATTTTCCCTCAAGGGCACGGCCTGCCGTAATTGAAACAGCGCCAACTTTTTTTTTGTTTTATGAGGGCATCAAAGCTATAGCAGTGCTTCATTGCGAAAACATCTAAATTTCCTAGATATTAATCTTTCTCAAAGGCAGATAGCACTATAAATCCCCAAAACATGTAAGATTGATACCTTAACAGGACGGAATTTCGCGCCTTTGAGCAAGTGTTGTGTGGCGACTTCCCCAAGGAAGGTACCGTTATAGCGTCCTATCAAGCTGCAACATACCGACCCGGACGCCATCGCCCGCCAAATGTCTGACCGGTGCTGATGCTCGCACGGCTCATTTGCGAAGTACAATATGAAGCGAAGGAAATGATATGGAGCCGCCACGGGCTGCATGGATATATGAGCACATACAGAGGAGGGGGCAAAAAAAAAGACATTTCGACCGAGTCACATATCAGCAAAGTTTTCGCAGCCCAGAGGACGTGGATACGAGTACCAGGGCGGAAGATACCCAAGATGTTCCTCGATAAGCAGGAGCTGGCTCTCGCCCATCACCTTCATGTAAAAATATGAAGTCATCTCCAGTCGCAGCCTGACTGGAGAAGACCTTTGGAATTCATGTCACCTCCAAACAGCTGCGAAACTTCTAGTATGGAGTCACCCATGGATAGCTACCTGGAGACCAGTACTCTCAATCTGGAAGACCTCCAACATCGAGCAGCTCCGACAACGTCGCTACGGTCCAGGACATCATCTTCACCTCAGTCGCCAAGGCGCAGTTGATGGTGGGACCGGACGTACCTGGAATGGAGAGACCGATATTTTCTTCGTGGGCCCCGGACTGAAGGTGAGCGCTGGCGGTTACATCGAGCAACTCGAGAAGAATATCCCACATGTCGTCGCCCGTACCTTCTTGGAAACTTTGTACTGCTACAGGATTGGGTGACACCACATGGAATCAAAGGTTGGGAAAACTCTTGCCTACTTGGAATGGAAGGGCGTTGAGTACCTGAAGAAGGTGGAATATCTAAGCAGGTCACCTGACCTAAACCCCCTCAATTACCTGGTTCGGGCGGAGTTCAATAGGGTGGTCTACAGTGGCGGAGAAATCAACGATCTCGCTGAACTCAGGCACCCACTCACGGTCGCGTGGCAGAATCTCTCGATGGCGCCTCCAGAAGGTTGTGGCGGAGTATCGTGAATAGTATTTAATATTCTCTAATATGGCAGTAGAAGTGTCCGATAAGAATTAAATAAAGTGTTATAGCGCCTCGAAAGTCAAGGAAGAAAAAAGTCTTTTTTGCCCCTCCCCCCGTACATGCAGCCGTTCTAGTGGGCTACGGGGCACTTGTCAACCAGACGTGCTCTCGCTGCGAGGGTCTAGGGGTATTTTTCGAAGCATCTACCAGTCCACTGTTTTAAGGGAGAAGGTAAAGGAGGTCAGAGAAGGGAGGAAGAAAAAGAAGGAAGGAGGAAGAAAAAAGGAAAGAGAAGAGAAGCTTCCCGGTTGACAAGTGCCCCGAGACGGTTCCTCTAGTGGCTTACTGGCACGATGCCAACGGGAAACCCATCCGAAATTGCTTTCTGAGTCAAGCAGAACAAAGGTTTTTTGCAGATTTTTGACCGTTTCACTTCGCGTTTTCGCCATTTTCCCCACTGCATGGCGCCCCTGCTAACGCTTTAGAGCGCTTACTGAATTATCGTGCCTTATGGCTTTAACTAGGCGAAATGAACTGAACAAAATCGGTTCCACAGGAACCTTTACAGCAGCCACGCTGTCAAGGCTGTATGACTCAATCGTTGGAGCAGTGCTGTCGAATCGAAGTACGAAATGATTGATTCTTCCCGTTAAAGATTCTCCCCTTTCATCGACCCTGATTTATTTTCAATTACGTGGCAGAAATTGACGGCGCGAGCGCTGTTATTACATTAAATATTTCCTCTCATCATTTTAAATATATGCTAGGCTCTTAACAACTACGAAAGACTGTGCGTTCCTAGGTGGCCTTGAACTGAATCGATTTAGAACGCATAGTAGATCCAGTTGTGTCTTGTGTTGTTCACGAAGAACGTTTTATATTTGCTGTGTTCAGTTGGCGACTTCTTCGGATGAGTAAGCTTTGACCCTATTTTACGGTCACAGTTTTTCATT